AGTGTAGGAACCTAACTGATTTTTAACATTGTTTCTTTAGGAAAATATTTGAACACAAAAGCCAATTTAAAAATAAACATTTGGATTATATCCAGTTTATAAATGAGGTGGTTGATATCAGCAGGGCTTTGGAATTAGACTCTTGGATTTGGGTCTTTATCCCCCTGTTACCAACTTTATAATTTTGGGCAGGTTTTAAAATTTCTCTGTGCCTCAGCTTCCTTATTAGTAAAATGTGGATTATAACAGTCTCTACTTTATAGGGTTGTTGTGAGGTTAAAGGGAGCCCTGGTGGGGTAGTTAAAGCACTCAGCTGCTAACAGAAACGTTGGCAGTTTGAACTCACCAGCTGGAAGATGAGGCAGTATGCTTCTGTAAAGATTTATAGCCTTGGAAACCCTATGGGGTAGTTCTACTCTGTCCTGTAGAGTTACAGTGAGTCCGAATTGATTTGATGGCAATGGGTTTGGGTTTGGCTTTTTGGTCTTTTGTCTAGCTGTCTTAGTTTTCTAGTACTGCTGTAATAGAAATACCACAAATGGATGGCTTTAACAAACAAATTTATTCTCTTACAGTTTAGGAGGCTAGAAGTCAGTTCACAGGGTCAGCTCTAGGGGCTGGGTGGAGGCCCTTGACCTTGGGCTTCAGTTCTGCCTTCCAGGAACACTGGAGCAAGCTGTGGAGGCTTTTCCTGACTCACACAGCTACTGGCTGCTGAGGCTGATGAATCCAAGATTGGCAGGTAAAATGAAACAATCCTAGGATCGGCAGGCAACATGGCAGGCCACTGTTTCAAGTCCAGGAACTGGAGATAAAGAATCAGCCAAATGCAGGATTCTTTCCGTGGATATACTAGATGCAGACCATACCCTGAAGGCAACTCCACTTCAACTGACTATCTGCTCACAGCAGATTCCACCGTGGAGCTGATTATGACACATCCAATTTCATCATGGGAAATAACTACATTACAGTTGCTAAACCACTTAAAGTCATGGCCTCGCCAAGTTGATGCACACCCTTAACTACCACACTAGGTGTATGTCCTTCTGCCAGTGGTTTTACTCTGGGTTTGAGTAGCCTCATTGTGGATGATCTTTCAAGTCCCTTTCAGCTCTTACTTGGTGGGGATTATTTGTGTATTTCTTTAGTTATGGAAGTGAAAGCATAATTTGGAGACTGGAGAGGAATATTTCCACCTCTTTGCTTGTATAATGATGGTTCATAAGTGCACATAAACTGTTGTGCATGCTATAGAACATCTCAGAATATCCACAGTAGAGTTGCAGCCCTTGAGGACTTTAGTGGAAAATTACTTTTCAAAGGTTTTCTAGACAGCGTTAGCTTTTTTTTTTTTTTTTTAATTGTGCTGTAGGTGCAAATTTACAGAGCAGAGTTTGTTTTACATTCAACATTTCATGTACATTTGGTTTCACTCCCCAATTACCATCCCCAACCCTAACCCACTCTCCTCCCCCCCCCCCTGCCCAGTAACCCTCTCCCCCCCCCCCTCATAGTTATGCACTCCTTTGTGTCCTGCATTTCCTCTGTGCGAATCTTGCCCCTCTGGTGCCCTGTGGTCAATTGCTCCAAGGGATGCATCTCCATAGAGTGTGTGGGTGCGTCACCCTGGGTTGAGTGGTCTGCATGTATGTCTTGTTTACTATTGGGCTGAGAGCCAGCCTCTAGGAGTGAGTTTTATTCCAGGCCTGAAGTGTATCCCAGGGCCATAGTATTGGGGGTCCCACCAGACTCCATCCAACCAGTAATTCTGGTCGTTATTATGTTTTTGGATTTTGTTCCTTGTTTTTCCTCCCACTTTATCCAGGATCTCCAGTTTTGATCCTTTCCTGAGTAGTTGGCATTGGTAGCAGGGCACCATCTAGTTCTTCTGGTCTTGATGTCCATCATGTCCTGGGGCAAATTGCTTCCAAATGTCCTTGGTTTTTTGCACTCTTCTTCACTTCTGACAGTAGGAGACCATTAGCTGCATCTTAGATGCTGCTTGAAAGCTTTAAAGACCCCAGTCACTACTCACTAATGTAGGTTGTGGAACAAAATTTTTATGTATTTTGTTGTGCCAATTGAGTCTGGTGTCCCCCAATACTATGGTGGGGAAGGAAGCACATTATTTACGTGTACAGAGAGAATCTTTTGTTATATCTCCCTGTTTTCTTGTCTGCTCTTCATGACATGTTTAAGCTGGAGAAGAGCAGCTAGAGTATTAGCACTTCTCTCCTATTATATGGGCCGTCTCTCATCCATTCAGCAGCTTTGCTTGCCAGCCATACACTCATTACGCCTAACTCTACTGTGGCATGTAGCCAAGTATTTGCCGGACATTTGAACTTCGATGTCTCACAAGCATCTCAGACTGAAAGAGTCCAGAACTGAAATCCTGCTGTTTCCCTACTTTATCCGTATCCCAGACCTCCTTTTGGGGTGGGATGACTTATCCATTTCAGCTCTTAGAAACCCAGGTGGCATCTGTGGGTATTCATACCTACTGACTGATGATATCTGTTGATTTCACCTCCTCAAAACCTCTGAACTATTTCTTCTCAGTCTCAACTGCTACTTCTTGAGCTCAGAACCTCATTGTTGCTTGGAGTGATATTACAGCTGCCCCTGTCCACTGGTTTCTAGCCTATAGTCTTTTCTTTCTAATCTGTTTTCCATTTGGGATCTCTTGAGGGATCCTACAGAGATCTGATTTGTCACTCCTTAGGAGCTCTGGTAGCATAGTGCCTAAGGCACTTGACTGCTAACCAGAAGGCTGGCGGTTCAAACCCACCAACCACTCCTCGGAAGGAAGGTTGGGCATTCCTACTTCCGTAGTGATACTGCCTCGGAAACCCAAGGAGGGGTCGCTATGAGTCGGGGCCGACTCGATGGCAAATAACAACAACAACAACAGTGATTTCCTCTACCTACTGTAGGATTAATTCTAATTTCCTAGCTGTCATTTGGAGGCACTCTAGTAGTAGTGCTCAGGAACATGAATCTGGAATCAGATTTTTGGGCAGATTACCTAGCCTCAATTTCTTATCTGTAAAATAGCATCAATAGTTCCTGCCTTTTAGGGTTGTGAGGGTTATGTGAGTATTTAGCACCAAGTCTGGCACAGGGTTTAAGTCTACATACATTCCCTGTTTACTGTCAGTAGTACCACTGTGGGCCCTTCATGGTCTAACACCAGCTTACTTCTCTAGCAAGCTAGGTTGTTTGCTTGCTTCCTTCGTTCAGTCTGGGAAAAAGCCCAAAACTTCTTCTTATGGAAATTTTTAATTTGCATGAACCTCCATATACCCAGCTTCAATTAAGAACATTTTGCCAATCTCATTTTATGTATTTCCCCATTCCTGTCCCTGCTCCCCCATCTCTTTTTATTTGGGGGGAAGGGTGAGGGCTGGGGTGTTTTAAAGCAGACATTGTGCCATTTCATCCATCACTGCTGAGTGTTTAGCTTGCTTTCTTTCCACTTTCATTGCTGCTCTTTTTGCCAATGTTAGTCTTACAGAATTAATTGAGGTTCCCCCAGGGGCCATAATCGTTTTGTCTTAGGGCCTTTGCTCATGTTCTTCTTCCTTTGCCTTTAATAAATTTCTCCTAGTCATTTAGGTCTCTCAGCTTAGTTGTTACTTCCTCTGGGAACCCTTCCATGATCCCTGAGTGCCCAAATTAGGTGCTCCCTATGTTTACTCTTTTGTTGCTTTTGTTCCACTCTCTCTATTTACTTGTCTGTTTCCTCCACGAGGTTAAGCGTGGATTGAGACTTTGGGCAAGTCTGGTGGGGCAGTGGGTAAGGCATTTGGCTGCTAACCAAAAGGTTGGTAGTTTGAATCCATCAGCTGCTCCATGGGAGAAAAATGAGGCAGTCTGCTTCTGTAAAGATTTACAGTCTTGGAAACTCTACTGAACTCTACTCTGGTCTCTCCTATGTTGTTGTTGTTGTTGTGTGCCATCGAGTCAGCCCTGACTCATAGCGACCCCTCCTTGGGTTTCCGAGGCAGTATCACTACGGAAGTAGGATTGCCCAACCTTCCTTCCGAGGA